TCGTCGGCTGTGTCTTTTTGGCGTTTCTTGTGCATTTTTTACATATTTTAATTGCAGTTGAATTGGTGCTAATTGTCGAATAATTTCTCTGTGATGTTGTCAGTGGTCTATAATTGAGTAATGGATGAAAAGGAGGTCTCAGATTCGTTCTTTGTTATATCTGAGGAGAATAATGATAGCTTGTATCCGATGTTTTTTGGCGTTTCTTGTGCATTCTTCGTGCTCAGACTCTTGCCAGAGCCTGATATATGTGATGATAAATGGTCAGAAATAAGAAATGGGATACTTCAAGGAAGTGCTCACCTTCTGGGACTTCTTGTATGGAGAGTTCAGAGAAAAGAAGTCGAGTCCGGGAAGTCCAAGCTTTTCCACAAACTCAAGAATGCTGAAAAAGAGATCGAAGAATTAAAGAAAATACGAAGTGAAGATGCAAAAGCTAATGAGAAAGTTGTCAGCATATTTGCAGCCCAAGAACAGACTTGGTTCAATGAGAGAAGGAAACTTAGACAGCAAATTGGTTCTCTTGTGAATGAATTGAGAGTACTTGAGACGAAGATGGATAAAACTATTTCTGAATTAAATGGAAAATTGCAAGAGAACAAAGTTTTGATGCAGTCGAAGGATAATTCTGTTGAGGAAGAGGAGATTAGGAGAAGGGAATTAGAGGAAAAACTGAAGAAGGCTGAAAACCTGATGGGGGAATTGAGAGAAACTGCCAAGCGGGAAGCTCAACGGCACACAAATGAGATCTCAAAGCACAAGACTGCATTCATCGAGCTTGTATCAAACCAGCGACAGCTTGAAGCAGAGATGGGACGGGCTCTTAGGCAAGTTGTAGCAGCAAAACAAGAGCTTGATTCAGTACTCGAGCAGAAGGAGCAGTATATTTTGATGACTCAAAAGTTATCTTTGGAGCTTGTGAAAATGCAAAAGGAATTGGAACAGAAAGACCAGATTTTGTCAGCTATGCTCAGGAAATCCAAATTGGATACAGCAGAGAAACAAATACTTTTACACGAAGTAAAATTGTCGAAATCCGGAAGAAAGCAACTTGAGCTAGAAACAGAAAGGTGGAAGGCAGTTTCTGAGTCAAGGCATGAAAGAGATTCCTTAAGAAATATGTTATCTAAGCATGTAAATTCGAAGTTGGATATACATGATTCAGGTGGCAAAGGGGCACACTCAAGAGCAACAAGGCTATTGGACATTGGAAAACTCCAGTCAGAGAAAACTGACTTTCTTTCCAAGTACAACCAGCCTAAGTTTAGGAAAGGGCCGGCAGCATTTTCTCCTCTATTCGACCCACAC